CACCGAGACTGAAGCACATCGAAAGCATGCTCCACATCCTTCCTAACACTCTCATGCATTTGGGCAAACAACTATCTCTTCTCTCCTTGCGAATTGGGTATGGTCTTCACAAGAGTGGACCAGTGAGGATAGATACCTTCAGATAGGTAATATCCCTTGTTGTAGTGGTGACCATTGACCTCAAAGTTGACTTCCGGGGAGTGGCCTTGTGCAAGCCTTGCAAACACCGAAAACCGCTGAAGAACACTAATATCATTCTGAGAAACAGACAAGCCGAAGAAAGTATGTCATATCAAAAGATCTTGTGAAGCTACAGCTTCAAGTATAACAGTGGCAAATTTCACATGCCCTTTGTACTGCCCCTGCCAAGTAAATAAACAGTTCTTCCACTTCTAGGTTTGAACCTTTTGGCCCAGGTGTTTTATGAACCCGCTCACGCAATACACAGGTCCCGGGTTTGAACCTTTGGCGGACCATTTTCTTTTCGGTACTTTTTCATGAGAGAAAAATATGTCAGGGGCTTTTCGCAAAATAAACCGGAATCTGAAAACAGGGAAGCTTTTCGCAAAAATATATCAGGTTATTCATCCGATTACATCAACTAGAGAAGGCATCTAAAAACAGGGAAGCTTTTTGATGAAACCCTTGAGCAAACAGGGAAGCTGATTAGAGATCTAGAGATAGGAATAAATAAATAGGTCACAGGTTCACAGCTCAGACCAGCAATTGCTCTCACATACTACAGCTACGCTGCAGACATGCCTTGTGTCTTCTCGCTGCAAATCTTCCTTTGAGTTTGCTACGCTCACAAATACATAGTATTATATGGATTGCAAAGTAGCCCAGCACAGCAAGGATGAGAGTGACGACATAAACAGACGTCTTCCACCCCCTGTTGGAGCCGGCTGCATAGGCTACTAGGAGAGCAACCAAACCCAGTCGGATCGTCCAGTTCATCACCCTCAGCGACCGTTTCTCCCATTCTTCTTCCTTCTTATGTGGCAGCCATCGCGGTAGCAACATGATGATGACAACTATGGAGGCCATGAAGGAAATGGAGTTGCTGTAAAAGAAGGTGAGGTACCGGGGACTTCTCTTGTCGTGCATCACTGGGTTGCCCGCCTCATACCCGTTGTCGTTGCTCTGCCACGCCCCGCCAGGCGGTTTCAGCCCGGCCTGGTAGGCTATGCTCGCCACCAGAATGCCTAGCAGCATCAGGTTCTTGCGCCTCGCATGCTTCTTCCTTTCTTCTTGATCCCAATCCAACTTCTTTTCTTTAACCTTTTTCCCTTGTTCTTCGTCCTGTTCTATGGTGCCATTTTTGTCCGCCCCGCTCAGTAAAACAAGGAGAGAACCATGGCCACCAACATGAAGACGTAGATGGATGTCTTGCGGTGTTGCGTGCTTCCGGCAGCGTAGGCCCCCATAGAACAAAACAAGCCCACCACCATACAAACAGATAGCGCATTGCTTCGTATGGCTGGCCTATACAGGTTGGGGTTCACCAAGAGGATGATGAGGGTGATGGACAGCATGAAGCTCACCGAGTTGGAGTAGAAGAAGGCATTGTAGCGGCGCGGGTAGTTGTACAAGAGGACCGGGTCGCCAGCGTGGTGCCCGAGCTTGTCCTGGAGCAAGAATCCGCCAGGAGGGGTGAGGCCGGCTTGGTAGGTGATGGTCGCTGCCAAGACCGCAAAGAGGAGCAACCGTTTGCGCCTCTTCTCCAGCAACTTTTCTTCTTGATAATTGTCTTTCTTGTCCTTGTGGTCCAGCGTGAAGAAGACAATATGGATCACCACATAGACCAGGACGGCACCTGTCAAGGCCATGGCGTAAATGGAGGTGCTCACGTCCCGGCAGCTCCCGGCAGCATACGCACCAATAAGGCCAAACAGGTTGAGTATCATTGCTGTCAAGAGCATATGGTGCCTAACCAGATTCCCCATCTGGACCAGGACGATGACCACCAAGGAGGTCACGAATGCAACGGAGTTGCAGTAAAAGAAGGCCCTGTACCTCCCAGCGTTGGTCGTGAGGAGCATGGGATCTCCGGCCATGTGCCCGTCGCCGTCGTCCTGCCAAAGGCCACCCGGCGGGTCCAAGCCTGCTGTGTAGGTGATGGTGGCAGCAAGAGTGGCGAGGAGTACAACAAGAGGGTGAGCATTGTCCATAGCCTCTTCCTCAGCACTGCATACATAGCAGAGAAAGGATAGAGTTCAGTTCAATACTTCAGTCAGTTGCAAAGAAAGAAAGAAACAGTGCATCTGTGCAAACAAAGTAAAGGAAGAGGAGGATTTTAAGTACACAGTTCCGCACCTGTGGTGAGTTGCAAAAAATCGTGTTTCTCCACTCGAACAACAAGACAAGGATTTTGACGGTAAAGTATAGCGTAGGATGTATGCCAATGCCACGGCGCCGCCGGCCAGGCCGACCACTTGGGCGGTGGTACTGGTCTTCCTGCAGCTGCCAGCGACATATGCGCCGATGAGGCCGACAAGCGTGACGACAATACACGCATAGAGCACGAGAGACAGAGCATGGAGCTTCTTGCTGTTGACGATGAGCAGCATAATGATGAGCAGGGACGCCACGAACGCCGTGGTGTTGCAGAGTAAGAATACCGTCAGGCGCGCGTTGTGGTGGTCCTTGAGAATCACATCGCCGGGGTGGTGGCCGCCCCCAGTGCTGTCCCAGAAGCCACCCGGAGTGTTCAGCCCGGCGCAGTAGGTGATGCTCACCGCGAACGTCGCCAGGAGCATCAGGAGCTTGCGGAGCCGTTCTTGGGCTTTGAGCATCACCGGGTCCTCGTGCTTGTCTGTAACCCAACAGTCTAGATCCAGCAACTTGACGACGGGGATGTAGAGCAAGACGGCGGCCACCAGCACCGCAAAGTAGACGGTGGAGCTCTTGTCCCGGCATGTGCCGGTGCCGTAGGCGCCCATGAGGCTGAGCACGACTAGCAGCATGAAGACCCGCAGCAGCACGACGGACTGGAAGGGGTCCATCTCCCCCCTCCTCTTCTCCTCGTCGTGCCGGACGGTTAAGATGACGATGAAGACCATGACCACGAGGGATGCGCCGAATGCTGTGGCGTTACAGTAGTAAAAGGAGAGGTACCGGTGGTAGTGGGTTTCGAGGATGATGGGGTCGCCGGCAAGTTTGCCTTCATGGGTGACCTGCCAGACTCCTCCCGGCGTGTTGAAGCCAGCGGCGTAAGTGACGGTAATCACCATGGTGGCCAGCAGCAGGAGGTACTTCTGCAGGCTGTACTCCAATGCAGTGTGCACAGGCGGCATCGCCGGCTGCACCATGGTGGCCATTCCACTCTCTCAAGTCTTGGCAGGAAGTGTGTGGCTCCTCTTTCTTACTATTGTGATGCAGAGATCATGTGGGACGATGGGTAAGAGAGGGAGAGAGTTGCGTGATAGTAATAAGACGACTTGCCTCAGCGCGTCGTCGGGAGGGAAGGTGCCAGCCTGTGCGCCCTCCCCTGCATATTCAAAGTCTGACGGAGTACCGGTATTTTACTACCACCGTTGCATTTTTTACAGCAACTCCGACGTGTGTGAAGGTGCGGGGTCAGGGTCGTCGGTGAAAAAACTTGTCATCAAAATACTTAGCACTCTGGTACTTTCTCCGTTCGAAAATACTTGTCATCAAAATAGATAAAAAGAGATGTATCTAGAACTAAAATACATCTAGATACATTTTTTTTATCTATTTGAATGACAAATATTTTCGAAAGAAGGGAATAGTATTGTACACACTACTGCTCTACCTGATGTGAACGGAGTCAGGTCGTGGTGAAAGGGAAGAAGCATCGAGCCAACGGCAAGTCTTCCTCCGGTCAAATAAACCAGGAAAGAAATTCGAGACTGTTGTGCGAACGACGTTGCCCGGCCGATATGTGCAGTGTTGAGTATATTGATTATTAGGAAAGATTAGATAGACTAGGATTAGTTCTGCCTTGTCTTGTACTTCAAGTAGATTATTGTATTCATATATATATATGCCCATAAGGCTCAAGCAATACAACAACAATTATTCCATCAATCTCTCTCTCCCCTTTAATATGGTATCAGACTAATCACGATCCAAACCCTAGCTGCCGCCGCTTCCGCACCTGCGCACCGCCCCCGGGGCGGTCGGCCTCCATGACCGCCGCCGGGGGCCGCGCCGCCCATACCTAGGGTTCGTCCGCCGGCCGTGTTGGCCAGCTGCCATAAAGAGTTTTTTTCCCGATCTTTTGATCCGGGTTTTCTCTCTCTCGCCGGTCGCATTGATCGGCGTCTACTTTTTGGTTTTCCGATCCACTGGATCGGTTTGCGTCGCCCACCGCCGCCGTCGACACCCCGTGTCTCTACTCCGACACCGGTCCGACCGGCCGGCTACTTCACCAACCCGGCGGCCTTGCGCGACAGGCAGCCCTCAAGGCCGTCGTCCGCGCGCCACCCCGCCCGTCGCCCTATGCCGGCCGTCACCGGCCTGCTCCGACCAGGACACCTGCATCGCCTACACCCAGCGGCCTCGTGCCATGCGGCGGCCAATCATAGCCTCCACTCGCGCGTTGGCCCGCCAATCAATCCACGCCACCCGCCTCCGCCGCGTCTGCACGGCGGCCCGGCGGTCTACCTCGCCGGCCTCATCCTCGGCTGCGTCGGGACGGCTACATCAGGCTCGTTGGCTGCCTCAACTGGGGCGCCGCTCCTCCGTCGATCGCTCGGGCCTCGCTGCCCGGGCGTCGGCGCTGGTTTGGCAGCTCGGGTGCCGGTGCTGACAAGCCCATCCTCACGACGTCCTACGCAGTCCTTCGTCGCCGGCCACATCTCGGACTCCGCCGCCACCCCGCCTCCACCGAGCGGCGTCCCCGACCTCGCGCGCGATCGGCTTGATCACCCGCTTGCCACCGCGATCCGCCTCATCTACGCCCCGCGACCAACCTGGCCCGTCGGTTGCGCGCGCCTCCGCATGTCCCGTGAAGATTGTCCCGAGTTCAGCGCGCCTCTCCACCGATCGAGCATTGGGCTGCCGCTGCGTTGCCCCGTCGGGCCGCAGCGCCGCCGCCCCGTGGTTCTCCTCGCGGCTGCATCGACCCGTGTGTCGCCGCTGCGTCGCCCCTTCGGGCCATAGTGTCGCAATACGCGGTCCCCGCTGATGAAGCCATGTACCTAGAGTAGGTTCATGGACCTGTCCAAAATACCCTCCCCAAGGACATCTCTAGAAGAAACTACCTTTCAGTCGACCTGGAAGGATTCCACTCGACGGACTCGAAGACAGTCGACCATGAAGACTCACTTGACCACCAGAAAGACCTAAGGTCACTCTACATCCAAATGGTCCATTATTAAGTAGTCTTTATGGCCATGATATCATTTTATGTAAGGCATTACCAGTAACGTCTGGCCTTTATGTACATTGAACTCTCTGCTACGTGGGCTGGCTGGGGTCCTGGCGCACTCTATATAAGCCACCCCTCTCCACAGGCAGAAGGGTTCGCACCCCTGTAACTCTCACACATATAATCCAGTTGACCGCCTCCGGGCACCGAGACGTAGGGCTGTTACTTCCTCCGAGAAGGGCCTGAACTCGTAAAACTCTTGTGTGCACAACTACTCCATAGCTAGGATCTTGCCTCTCCTTAGTACCCGCCTACATTACTGTCAGACTTAGAACCACGACAGTTGGCGCCCACCGTGGGGCAGGTGTCTTAGCGACTTATTGGAGAAGTTGCAATTTTTCCGGTTCCCATCATCATGGTTTCAGGTGGAGTTTTGGTTGAGGGCGGCGAGATCCGTCTCGGCGCGCTCACGTTCATCGCCGACGACTCCGCCCGGCTGCAGGAGGCTCCGCTCGACGTCGACGCACTCCCAGTCCGCGGAGCTACGCACTTTCGAGCATGCGTCCGCGGCGTCCTTCTGCGACAACCGTTGACCCAGTATCGGCCGGTTTTTGTGTCATCCTCCCTCCCGGCTTCTCGCCGGCGCAAGCGCTGCTGTCGGTCGAGGCTCCAGCGGTGGGTGAGGCACGCGGTGGCTCGCCAGTCGACCACCGCCCAAGTCACGGCAATCGAGCCCGACGAATCTCTCTACGGCCTGTTCGACTAGCTCCGCAGAGACTGCATCCGAGTGCGACAGCAGTGATCCAGTGGCCGAGGTCCTGATGGTTAATGGACCACACGGTCCCCCCGGCTTTCAAGGTGTCGAGGGAGGTATCGGCGGAGGCGATCCGTCGCACGTCCATGAGGAATACCTCCCCGAGCCCCTCAATTCGCAGCAGAGGGAAGAGCTTGCCGGAACATGGATGCGCTTCACACTCCGATCGTTGGAGAAACCCCTGAGGCTCGCACCTTAGAGGACGCGCGCTTGGCCAACCTGGCTGAGCGCACTCGACTGGAGAACCTTCAGCGGGCACTCGACGAGCGCGCGCGGTAACGGATTCCAGACTCCAGTCGACGCCAGCTCTTTCCACCTCCGACTCAGGTATATCAAACTCGGATTCAGAATTTAGCAGCTGCAGCCCGTATAGCAGAATCGATTCAGCCTTCCCAGTCAAAGGCTGGCAGAGGCTTGATGCAGATCAGAGATTTGCTCCGGGTAGCAGGAGATCAGAATTCAGCTGTATCGCAGTCGCGGAACAGGATTCACAGCAGATCCGCGGCAGCGAATACGGTCCAGTCGGCTCATAGCCCCAGATCGCCCCCGAGGCATGAAGGGCGTGGTGACCGGCACGATCAGTACAGGAACCATGAGCAGTATGATCACCGATTCGATCGCAATGATCGACGTCGAGTGCCCACTCCTCCCCCAAGGGGTGGATCCTATGTGCCTCGACAGCAGGATGATAGACGCCAGCACAGTGGCGGGCGAAGGATCCCGGTCGACCCCAGAGAACCAGGCTTTGATGCGAGATCCATCATCGTTCAAGGTCAGGTCGACCGGAACAGAGCTCACAAAGAGGGCAACGACAGAGATGTACCCATCAGCAGCCGAGTGCATGTCTCCGGACCAGAGTGTTTCAGCAGAGCCATCCGAGCCGCAGTGATTCCTCCCAACTTCAGGTTGGCGACTGGAGTCAGCAAGTTCAACGGTGAGTCTAAGCCCAATACTTGGCTTGAGGACTACTGAGTGGCTGTTCAGATCGGTGGCGGAAATGACGAGGTGGCCATGAAGCATCTGCCTCTTATGTTGGAAGGGTCAGCCAGAGCATGGCTGAATCAGTTGACGCCCAGCAGCATTTACACGTGGGAAGACCTTTCCCGAGTGTTTGTCAGAACGTTCGAAGGAACATGCAAGCGACCAGCAGGACTGACAGAGCTGCAATCTTGTGTGCAAAAGTCGAATGAAACTTTGAGAGACTACATCCAGAGATGGATCACATTATATCACACAGTAGAGAATGTATCTGATCACCAGGCAGTCTGCGCCTTCAAGGAAGGCGTAAAATACAGAGAGCTAAGCCTGAAGTTTGGTCGAACCGGAGACATGTCTCTGAGTCGAATGATGGAGATAGCCACCAAGTATGCCAACAGTGAGGAAGAGGATCGGCTCCGGAGCGGCAAGCACAAGTCAGTCGCCCCGGACACCGGAGGCGGAAATTCCAATTGAAAGCAAAAGCGGAAGGCCGAGCCAGCCGCTCCTGGAGAAGCCTTGGCCGTGAATCACGGAAAGTTCAAAGGGAAGCCCAAAGGGCCTTGGAACCCCAAGAAGGTAAAAGACAAAGAAGGAAACGACGTGATGGATTTACCGTGTCACATCCACACGAAGAAAGATGAAGAGGGTAACTTCATTTACCCGAAGCATACCACTCAGCAGTGTCGACTCCTGATACAACAGTTCCAAGGGAAACAGTCCAAGGATAAGGAAAAAGAGTCGGACAAAGTCGAGGACAAGGAGGACAGTGACGAAGAATATCCACAGGTCAACTCCACCCTGATGATTTTTGCTGACGTTGAGAGCAAAAACCGACTGAAAGTTATAAACCGAGAGGTGAATATGGTTGCTCCGGCAACGCCCAATTATCTAAAGTGGTATCAAACCGCCATCACGTTCGACCAGTCTGATCACCCGACGCACATAGCCACCCCCGAGAGGCAAGCTCTAGTGGTCGACCCAGTCGTTGAGGGCACTCGACTGACTAGAGTGTTGATGGATGGCGGCAGTAGTTTGAATATACTGTAGGCTGAGACGCTGAAAGGGATGGGCATTCCGATGTCCAGACTCAGCACGAGCAACATGAGTTTCTATGGAGTCATTCCTGGTAAGAAGGCCGCGTCACTCGGCCAGATTGCTCTTGATGTGGTTTTTGGTGATTCCAAGAACTT